CACAGTATATGGTGCCAGGGATCAAACCCAGTCCCTGTGCTTGCCTAAGCAGGCACTGAGTCTTCTGAGCTAGCTCACTGGCCCTGATACTAGTATTTTTATTTGGGTAGTAATTACTCAAATTCCAGTAACTAACTAGACTTTATTTTATTAGTAAAAGGTCTGTTAAGAAATTAGATCTGTTATTGCCACCAGAGGGGACAGTCATACATGGAACAGGTTAAAGAGCAGAAATACAAAGTCAGATATTGTTAAATAGTAAATTTTATAAGTTATATTGTACATTATAGATTTAATTCCCCAGTTCTTCTTGAAGGTACTTTGCTAAGCATTATGTATGGCATACAGATTTTCTCTTCAATCTAGAGAGTCTCCATGTTTTTCATTTATAAATACTGCCCCAAATTAATAGAGAGAACATAAATAGAATTTTTTTTAATATTATGTGTCACCATCCTCCTTTGCCAGCTTACTGTAATGTCATGTAACTCAGTAGTGTCCCAAATTTTCTGACCAAGAAGATTATGGGACAGCAATTAACCACTAAGAAAAATATATGCAGTGTATTATTTGTTGAAAAAATAAATAAATAAATAAATTGGTGCATTAAAAAAAAAAAGAAAATAAACTGAATTACTGGTTTAAAAAAAAAAAAAAAAGATTATGGGGCCAAAGAGGAAAGTGATAGATGATGTAGAGTGTGCCTAAGGAGAGTCACATGGAGAGAAAACATTCTCTCACGCTTTCACAGAGAGCACATTGGCCAAGCAATGGCCATGACTCATCCTCATGACTGACACTGAACAAAGGTTCTACAATCTGAGGTACAAGATCTCAGGATAAATCCTGAGGGGATTTCACTGACCTTCTCTGGCCCAAAAGCTACAGCTCTTGTTGCATAGGTCCTGCTTTACCTTGGTCTTAACCATCCAGAAGAAAAATATAAAAACGAAATATAAGAAGTAAAGCCATGCTGTTATGTTAAGCTATTGGGGACTCAGGTCAACAATTTCTGACATTGCCAGTTAAGCCAAAGACCCAATACTATTATGGGCTACTGGACTCTTTTAGAATATTTTTTTTGAGTTTACATACCTAACAATATTCAAATAACAGAACTTAACAAAAAAAGGGTATACAGATGAATGTCCATTTTGTACCTGTGTATTCAAAGTGGTTAGGATAGATATATAGTTACATTCTCTTAATGAATAGAATGATTTGTTCTAATGGTGTTTGTAAATAGGATATCAGGTCCCCATCTTGTACAGCAATTAACCACTAAGAAGAATGTATGCAGTATGTTAATTATTGAGACTGTCCTACCAATTTGATTTGAAGCTGTCTCATTGCTATTTGTTTATCAATAAAATTATGGCAAAAAAATAAAAATAAAAAAATAACCTGGAAAAAAATTTTAAAATTTTAAAAAAATATTATGTGTCATCATCCTCCTTTGCCACCTGTACATAAGACATTTATTGTTAGTCCTCTAAAAAATATTTCAGTCTTATCCCCCAAATTTTTTTAATTAAGCTCATCATCTCTGCAGTTAAGTATATGTAAGCAGTGCATAAATATTTTATCTGCTTACTAGTGTGCTCTTAGCTAGCAAATGTTGTACTTAAATTTCCTAAATTATGTTTTGCAAGTAAAAACAGCAACCAGCTCTCAGCTGGAGGCTTTCAATGGAGGGTGAGCGCCCCACCATCTCCTGTCCACTTAGACTGCAGCTTTGAGAACTCTTGCTGCAAGCCACATGAGCAGTAGTGGTACAGTTTTCAAGAAAAATGCTCACTTATTAATGAAAAACACAGTCCTCTGGCACAGCTGTTTGTTAAAAAAAAATAAAGTGCTTTTAATATTCAGGCTGTACTGACTTTGTTTTACCACAAGAGGTCCTTAAGTCCTGTGGATGGATGCAGGCCATTTTAGGGACTTAGGAGACTGTTGCGATGATCTGCTATTTCCATGACATTACATTAGCCAGATTTTTAACATAGGAGAGCCAAACTTTTATTCTTTTGAACAAGTTTTTTTAAAATACAACTTCTTATCCCATTGGGACATAGAAAACGGTAACATCAAAAAATGCAAGAAGAGTGGAAAGGCCAGGAATATGAGTCATGTCAAATGGCAGTGAAATAGAAATCCCTGAGAGGCTGTGTGAAAACTCAGACTCTTTTCAAGTTAAGAACAAGCAGAATCATTCCTTGTCCCTGTGATCTGAATTCCCTGTCTTTTCCAGTCGGGGATAGTCTGTCGGATTTGTAATTAAACACAATTGATCTTTGATGGGAATAAGGAAGTGGGAAGGCACTTAGAATTACTTTGATAGCACATAATTGATATAGTTGTCATGGTTTGGCTGTGTATTGCAAATCATTTTGCTACTTTGAGTATCTATAAATGTTCCCATGTCTACTCCTGCAATATTTTAGATAATCGTCAATTAAATGTCTGCTTCACAGTAAGCAGAAGGATGTATTCTTTGTCTTTCAGCGTTTATAGTTACTTGGAGAAATGGTTTAATAGAAAAATTATAGTTTGTTGTATATTGATCGTACCTCTTTAATACCTTGATTTATTTCAATAAAAAATATTTGTAAACTTATGTAATTATATCTCTTATTCTGTAATAATTTAAAGATACAAGAACACAATAGTATTTTTCCCAGTGGCAGCCAATGATCTCTTGGTAGTGAAAGAAACTTCTAGTTAGTATATATTGGCATCTATTTGTACAAGGCTTGAGATTTTTGGTTTGCCCATTTCAGTGGCTTGTAAATAAAATGGACATGGTATTATTTTATGATTAAATTATTGCTTGTCCTCTTAGATTAGGCTTATTAAGAAATGTCAGTCAAATTGATCTAGGTAAGGAATTTAAATTTTACGTATGCTTTTTTCAAATCTTTTTATTAATACATATTTGTAGTACATTTTTACATTCCTTGTAGGTAGTTGGCGCATGGACATAATACATCTTAGTTCCTTTTATCCCCTTTCTCTTTTGTTCTCCTCCCTCCAAGCATCTTTTGATCCCTTTTTTGGGTGGGTGGTATACTGTATCTGCTTTTACTATTCATTGAAAATGTAGATTTTTTTTTTTTTTTAATGTATTTAGTACAGGATCTGCAGGGTCTCACTACACAGATCAGACTCGTAGTGATCCTCTTGTTTTCATCCTCCCAAGTACTGGTATTACAGGTGCACGCCATCACGCTCAGTCTCAGTCTCTGGCTCAGCACGCCCCAGGGGACAGGGCTGGCACAGCATGCCAGGATGGAACCCAGTCCCTGGGTCTAAGTAAGAAAATGTTCGGGTTTTTTAATAGCAATTTTGTGTTTTGACCAATAGATGGCACTAAGCACATATAAGTAGGAAATATAACTTTATTAAGTTATTTTCTGAATAGGAAAGGTTTTCACCATTACATACTATAAATCTTTTTATTATCTACCTTATAAAGTTTCTTCTGTTACAGAAGCTCTTTTTTTTGAATGAAATAATCTCATGTGACAGTTATAATTAAGAGAGACATAGCCTCAGAAATTACTTTGACTGTCACCTATTCATCAAATTGTTCTGCTCTTAGCCAATTATCTTTTTCTTAAGTTGGCCTCTCCTTACAAGTACCTTGTCTTCCCTGAAAAACAGAAAATATATTCTAATGCTTGTAAAGACCATTGCATAGCTTTTTAGGATAATAAAAAATATCCTAGACAGTTTCAGAGGTCTGAATGCTATTCTCATGTTCTTTTCTTGTCTTTGTTATGTTTATATTTTTGCAGTGTATCACTTCCTGAATCGAGATTCTTGAGGCTAAAAGTAATAGGTGTCCTTACTGTTAAAGCTATTGATGAATTATTTTACATGAGCAGAAATTATTAGAGTTGGATAGTACTGTATTTCCAATGATAATTGATTGAGTGGCTTAATCAGAGCCCTGCGGATATCAGCAGAGGTCCAGTGCCTTTCACATTTCGGCTCCAACCTCCGTAGTATGTCAAATGTATGCTCTATGTTGTAGACAGCTGCTGTACTTCTAGGCAGGACTTGTAGTCATGGCCAGGTTCAGGAGTGGAGGAGAAACGTCTCTTGCTGAGTCAGTGATCTGCACCCCTCATGAGCGGTGAGAGGTGAGGCCTCTCACTGTGAGAGCAGGGCCTCCCTTGGCACACACTGGCCCGGTCTGGCTGTGCTGCACCTTCCTAACAATTCACTGGCAGGCACAGAGAATTACCTTCCTGGGTGCAGAAGGTCCCAGATCCTTCCCACACACACAGGGTGCCTGCTGGACCTCACACAAATCAGCACTTTCCCACATCCAGGAAGACAGTGGAGTGGGCAGGCAGGAAACAATATTTGCTATCATTTCTGGTTTTGTTTTTATTTCACCAAGAGATTCTGCTATCCTGACATTGCTGAAATATAACTATTTCTATTATTTCCAGCACATTACACTGGACAGTTTCAAGTGAAACTCATGTCTAGTATTGTAGTCTGCCACTGAGTTTAAACTCTCCAAGCTATTATTTTTCTGTTAGTCTGTTCTTTTCCTAGCAACTAAAGATGGTAAGACCTTGGACTCTATTTCTTGTTCATTAATGCAATCTCACATTGCAACTATTAGGGCAGTTAGAAAACAGTGGTTTTGGGGAGATGGCTCAGTGAAATAAGTGCATCCCTGGCAAGCACAAGGGCCTGAGTTCAATCCCCGGTTCTGAAAAAAAAAAAAAAAAAAAAAAATCTCATGCATCAAATACAGTCAGGAGAAAACAGTGGTTTTGAAATGCTATGTGGATCTAGTAGCATTTCATCCCAATCTGTAGTTGTGTGCTACGTATACACAACATTCATCTTGCCCAAATGTCTGGAGATATTGCCACCATCTGTGTGCTTTGGAACTCAGCCTAAACCAGTAAATTCACTAGAGAGACCCAGAGGGGCCAAGCCAGGTAGCGGACTTTAATGCTTAAAGTCTTTGAACATTCACTGTCAGCTGTAGTGCCTCCTACTCTTGTCTGGCTTGCTGTCTTGCTTTTTCCATTTTCCATCTTAGCCCCTCTCTGAGGCTATAGATGGGCTCTGTGGCATATGTCTGCACCTATGAATTTCCTGAGGAACTGCTTTGTGCTAAAGATGTATTCCTGGTACATTGTCTATATATCTGGTTCTTATCTCTGTTCAGCAATTATTTCTTGAATGTTTGAATGGATATTAATCATTTGGTATCTCAAATACAGTTAGGTTTGAAATGTTCATGATACTGTGTTTATTAATTCTCATCACCTAGCCCATCAGTATATCCACCATCATTATTTTTTAATTTTTAAAAAGTGCTTTTTTTTGTCCATATGGGTCTTGCTGTGCAGTTTGGACTTGTAGTGATCCTCCTGCAGCCTCCCTAGCACTGGGACTACAGACATATGCCTCCATGCCTGGTTTTGGGGCCAGCGTGGCACACCTGGGGTTCCGGAGCCAGCACGGTTTGTGGTACTAGGGATTAAGCTGGTACCTTAGGCTTTCCAGGCAGGTGCTTAGACCACTGAGCTATCTCCCCAGACCTAAAAAGTGCTTTTTAAAAAACAGTGAACATTGCATCATTCCTATTGCTTGAATCTAGTCCTTTTCACATAGCTTTCAAAGAGACTAATTTGTCTAAGAAAACATTGAGTTAATGTTTAAAGAAACCCCTTGCATACCTTTATTTTTCAGAAAACTGTGGACTATATTTTCCAGAAATAAAAAGAAATCCAGGCAAATATTTACATAGTTGTCCTGAATCTGTGAGAAAGTGGCTTCAACAGCTAAAGAATGCCGGGAAGATTCTTTTGTTAATTACCAGTTCTCACAGTGATTACTGTAGACTGCTCTGTGAATACACTCTTGGGTAAGTGGTGCTCCAGTTCATTTTCATTATCTTATAAAATACTGATAGCATATTAGATAGTATTACTTTCTTAAAATTATTGGATCATAACATTACATTAAACAGTGCCAGATGGCAAGCATTTTTTTCTTGTGCCTCATAACAAACCTTATTATCTGCTTACAGCACTGCACTCCACCACCCCACCCTATTCCCCGTCCACCTGTCAAGTATACATTTAAGCAGAGCAGTGTTATGGAGCTGCTGTGCCTGTAGCTCAGAGGTAGCTAGCTAGCTTCTAGAAAGTGTCCTTAGGTCTTCCATGAATTGTGTTTCTCAGTTTTGGATGATTACTGGGGATGCTGAGGTATGGAATACACTTCCTGGCTGATTCCTGAACTAAAGATCATTTTATGTATTTCAGAGTAGAGCCCAGGTCTACACCACCACTGATGAAATTGATATGCATAAAAATCAAGGCAGTAGGAGTGCAGTAAACCATAAAATAGAACAGAGAGGAGCTTATGCCCTCCTCTACAGTCTACTGTGTGACCTGGGGCAAGGTTTAGAATTGCTTTGTGATTTAAACTTGTCATCCTGAAAACAGGACAGTAGTGCTTCACAGGAATGAGGGAATGTTTAAATAGTGTGGGCTAAGTATTAGGCAGAGTACTTATTAATGCTTATCTTGGAAGTGATGCCAGGGTCAGAGCAGAGAGACCCACGGGTGGGCTCTTGAGCTCCCTGCACATCTCAGATTTCAGCAGAAACAGCCTCTCATCTGAGCTCTGCCAACATAGCCTGAAGATTTCTTAACTTGTGGATTTAGTTTGTGCTGTAGTACACTTATCTGTAGGTGGATTTTTTTTTCCTTCTGCAGAAAATACAGGCTTGAGTTCCTCATAGTGAATCAAGGTTTAGTTCCCGGCTGGCTTGAAGGTTTGCTGCTTTGATAAACAGTTATGGCAGACCTTTTAGAAATGAGTGCCCAAACTGCAGCCCTCTTAATTGTCTCCAGTGGCCTTTTCCAAGAAGCAAAATAATAACTGTACCATATTTTGCTGCCACTTGTGTAGGACCAAGTTTCTCATTAAGCATTCAAGAATTTTTATTCCTTTTGCATTAGCTGAGCTGATCAGAGTCTTTTTCCCACCTTAATTTCTACTCATTAAGTTATTGATTTGTAAAAATATTCTAAAATATTAGGTAAATATTATTTTTCCAGACTATACTCCCTTTTGCCCAGATAGTTCTTTAATGCCAGATACAGCTTAAATGTCATAAGGGTTTTGTTTTGTTTTATTTTGTTTTTCGAGACAGGTTCTTACTATGTAGTTTAGGCTAGCTTAGCTATATAGCTATGTAGTTTAGACTAGCTTAGCTCTCCCAACTGGCCTTGAACCTGCAGCCATCTTCCTGCTTCAGTCTCCCAAGTACTGGTTTTACGAACATGCACCACCACACCCAGCAAAAATTACAGTTGTTATCATCTAAAAATTAATATGTTATAAAGACTAGACTGATTTTAAAATAAAGTATCATGTTTGAGCACTTTGCAAAAAATGTTACCAGACTCCTAATGCCACTTGCTGTGAAGCCATGTACTACACAGAATTATTATTGATTCTTCAAACTAAAAAGTCCCAGCAGATTTCAGTCTTCAGATTTGAAAACTATTGTAGACCCTGAGTATTTGTAGCTGTTAGAAACTGTTCGATTCACCAACACCTTCTCATCCAGAGAAAGGCAGCTCTGGTGGTAGTCACTGTACTGCTTTTGTCTTGCTTGTTTTTCTTGCTTTACTTCTCCTTTCCATTTTTGTCATGTTTATACCTCAGGGACTTGTCAGGAAGACTAGTGCTCACCCACCAATGCGAAGTTCATTTAGACTATAAGAGAAGTGTGAAGCATGTAACAGTTGGTCAGAAGATGAGCAGCGATGCTATGTAAAGGCTAAGGTACAGTTATGTGGACCTTTTCAGTTCCTTAAAGTAAATTTATGAAAAATGTTGTTGCCTTTCAGGGATGATTTTGCAGACCTTTTTGACATTGTGATTACAAATGCACTGAAGCCTGGTTTCTTTTCCCATTCGCCAAGTCAGAGGCCTTTCCATACACTCAGTAAGTTATGTCTTATCTCTTCTGTGAACCTGCTGCTGAACAACTGTGTGGATAAACTGTGTTAGATGCAGCACCATGTCTTCTTTCCTTCCTGGGAGAGAAAAAAGATAATAAGCCTGCTTGTATTAAACTTTATTGTTTTCTTTTGTAATCATTTGTTTATATATCCATCTGTCCAGCATTTTAAAAAATGAAAGACAGGCTTTACGTTAATTTTTGAAGCCAAAATAAATGCCGCAATAAATATTTGAGGGAATGTAATGAGTGAGAATCGGTTATTTTCTAGAACAAAAGTGTCTCCAGAAACTACAAAGATCATAACTAAATAATAACAACAATTAAAAAGAAAAAACGTTCTTTCTTAGGAACCACACAAGACCATCAGGGACAGGTGTCAAAATTTTCTCGTATAGAGAGGCTGATGGAGAAGGAGGTGACATGAACAATGCAAATATATTTTCCAGATGAAAAAGACTAATAAAGCAAAGTGAATGTACATGACAGCTATTCACTGGAAGCTTCTTAAATGAATATGTAAATGACCATAAAATGGATTGCTTATCAGGAATAGGAGCTACAAAATTGGAGAGTGAAAGGTAGCATGTTTGGCTTTGCCTGTTACATCTTTTATTTCTGTTTAAATTAGTGTCCAGTAAACTCAGTGGCAAATTAACATTTGAGGATTGTTCAGAAGTTTTGTTAGAAGAAAAATACATAAAATAAGCCCAGGAATTATTGGAAGTTAAAACACATTTAATGGTCATAAATACATGTGTATTTAAAATTAACAAAATCTATAGACCTATGTAGTGATTTAGCTTCATTTGAAATATGAAAGTGAATATATATTAAGAATCTATATAAAATACACATACTACTTACAGACATTCACAGGAGTGTTTGACAATTTCTTTTTTCCCATAATTTTATTGATAAATAGCAATGAGACAGCTTCAAATCAAATTGGTAGGACAGTTTCAATAATTAACACATTGCATACATTCTTCCTAGTGGTTAATTGCTGTACAAGATGCGGACATGATATCCTATTTACAAACACCATTAGAACAGATCACTCTATTCATTAAGAGAATGTAACTAAATATCTATCCTAACCACTTTGTATACACAGATACAAAATGGACATTCATCTGTATACCCTTTTTTTGTTAAGTTCCATTATTTGAATATTATAGGTGTGTAAACTCAGCAAAATATTCTAAAGGAGTCCAGTAGCCCAAATAGTATTGGAGAGGGAAAGGAGAAGAGCTAGGAAACATGAATAAGTCAAGCCATACAATTATATGTAGAAGATGGGCAAGGCAATGATCCTGAGAATCTCCAGAAGATTTTTTTAATCTAGCAGTTAATTGGAAAGATTCTCATCCTGACTAACTATATATACTGATACCTGTGAACTAAGCTACTGCACTGCAGATGGTAATTTGTAATAGTAGTTTCATGCTTGGAGTGCCTGTCATTCTGGTCTTCTGAATATGGGCTGCTTGTCATGACGTGCCAGTTGCTGCTATGATGTCTCTCGGGCAGATGGTTGTTCAAGAAGAAGGGGGTGGTGAATGAAAGCAAGAGACAGGAAAAGGAATATTGTGGGACTGTCCTGCTTCAAGGTTGTATATGGTGAGATTTTTGGACTTAGGTGTAAACGTGAGAAGTATATAATTCTTTATGCCTATTTTTAGAATATATTCTAATTTTTAGATAATTTCTTTCACCTTTGACTCAGATTCTTGGCATTACAGCAGCAGCCTCAGCTAGGTGGAATGACAGTGTATACTTCTTTGCTTTAGAAGCATTCATGTCGGTCACATACATCCAGGGATTTCATTTAACATGATAATGTAGTAGAATTTGCTTTCAGCTTCTACTTCTCTGCCATTCAGAGGCGTGATTCAGGTTCATGCCATGCCGGCTCTGCCCCCAAGGTGTGCTGAGACCATGATTGAGATTGGGCATGGTTGCATATGCCTATGATCCTAGCGCTTGGGAGGCTGAAAACAGGAGAATCACTATGAGTCCGATCTATACAGTGAGATCTTATAGTCCCTCTAGACCATGTACTAAATACATTTTTTATAAAAAGCCTGATTCGGTGCTAGGTTACTGACTCTTAGTACTCACCTGAGTTATGGGCTCATGAGCAGTGAAATCCAAGCTAGGTTCAAGGTGACAAGTGTCAGACACAAGAGATCCTCTGTGAAACAGACAGATGCAGACACACGTAGGCATGTCAGCAAGCATAAGGGCTGACTGCAGTTAGATTGTTATGATAGGGTGAAGGAAGGAGGTCTGTCTGCACACACAAGGTGAGATGAGTTGCAGGATGGGCTCCAAGAAGCAAGTAATGAGTGGAAGAGGAGTGTCCCTCTGGGGAACAGGAGAATGCAGAGTGCTCTGGGAAAGGGTTTTGTGGTGGTCCAGCAAGAGAGGAAGTGTGTCATTCTGATGTGGGGTTACAAGGAGTGAAGTGGTGAGGTTAAGCAGTCTAGACAGCCTCACAGACTGTGGAAAAGATTTGAGTTTTATGCTAAGTAGGTTAGTATCCATTCAGTATTTTAAGACAGAAGGATAATAAAAAGACTGCTTTGACTGCTGAGTGTGGAATTAGCTGGGCTCAAGCAAAGAGGAAGAAAAACAGGAAGACCAGTCAGTTACAGGGCCCCAGAGGACAGGCTGTGTTGGTTTGGTCTGGGACAGCAGGACTGGAGTTGAAGAGAAGTACATGTCATGGAGTTTGAAAACACTGGGCTTGGTGTTTTACAAACATGAAAACAAACAAGTAACCAAAAATAACTGCCAAGTTGTTGGTTATCCTTTTCTCTGAAATGAGCAGGTGGTCCATTTGTAGTCATGGGTAGGAATGAAGAGGAACATGCTGTGGGACGTGGGCCTAATTAATTAAGAACTTGCCAGGAAGTGCCTGCCTGCCCTGGCAAGCCTGAAAAAAACTAATTAAGAACTGATTTTTCAGTATACTTTTGAGATTCCTATGAATTATGTAACTAGTCCTATCTTAAGACTTTATAAACAGGCCTGAGGTAGAAGGGAAAAGGTCTAGAATCAGAAGATCTATTTTCAAGCTGATGAGCTCACAAATGGATATTTAAAGTCATGGGCCTGAGATCAAATAGAGATTAATGAGGACAACAGGTTTGGCGAGTCTTGGCACATATTAACATTGTGGCATTAAATCTTAGAGAAGATCAAGTGCAGGGTGGAAGTGAGTACATCATGGTCAGGGAAGCAGGAAAGCTCAGAAAGCAAAGAGGCGAGGAAAAAATGTTCAAATAGAACAAAAGCTGCAAACAAGCCTTAGAAATAAACAAGAAATCCCCCCTTGGTGGGCAGCAAGAAAATCCTCTGTCTGAGCATTTCACGTGGGGCTGAATGTAGTGCCCTGAGAATTAATGGGAGCTTTTGGAACCTTTGACAGTGGACAGCTCTCGTGTGGAATTTTAGCTGTGAAAGCACAGTTGAGGTTTTAGGTGGAAGACATTAGCATGGAAGATAATAGGATATGCCTTTATGAGAACAATCTAGTTCACTGGTTTTCAGTGATGGCAGTTTTTCCCCTCAGTGCAAATGGGACAGTGTCTGGAGACATTTTTAGTGGACAGCTCAGAAGCAGGGTGCTGCAAGCATCTGACCAGCAGAGGCCTAGTGTGCTGCAACCATCCTATAACACAGAGGAGACAGAGCAGTGTGGCCCAGTAGGGCAGTGCAGCCCCGAGTCTCAGTAGTGATGCTAAAACTCCTACTCTAGAAAAAAGTGAAGAGTTAATTTTTAAAATATACATATTTTAAATTGAAGTGCTTCCTGTTTAGATATAATTTGTTACCTGGCAAAAGTACTCTTTTAATTAAACCAGAAAAAATTGAAAGTGTGTTCCCCTTTTACAGACTAATATTTAGATATATAAGTAATCAGCAAATAAGCATTTTTATTTTTTGTGTTTTATTTCCCAAAAAATTTGTATTTGTAATAGTATTTATGGCATTTCATAGTTTTTTTATTAAAATGTCACAAACAATGAACAGCAATGCACATTAAAAAATACCAAATTCTTAACATATTGGAGACCATTGATGCAATAACTTATGCTGGCAAGTTACTGCAGCTTTTGTGTGTTTCTGTTTAATTGAAACCATGCCGACAAAAGGATAAATTGCTTAAACACTGTGACTTTAGAAGTGCCCCTCTTATAATTTCCTCTTTTTTACAATGCTAGATTTATATTTTCAGGGCTCATGTAATAATGATTATGTAGTTGCATAATCATTCAAGTACTTCACCAAAACACTTTTTTTTTTTTTTTTTCTCGGTACTGGGGATTAAACTCAAGACCTTGCACTTGCTGGACAGGCGCTTATGCTGTTGAGCTATCTCCCCAGCCCAACACTTCAGTCTTTTGTTGAATTTGTAATTTGACAATGTTATAAATCATACATCAAAATATATACAAATGCTGATTATAAGTGTACCCTTTCTTAAATTGGTTTATATTTAGGGGTATAGAAAAACTTACTTTCTTTTTTTTTTTTTTTTTTTTTTTTTTTTGGCAGAACCAGGGATTGAACTCAGGCCCTTTTCCTTGCCAGGCAAGCACTTACTCTACTGAGCCATCTCCCTGGCCCCTTACTTTCCTCTTTTGAATTCAGGTTTTTCTAACAAACTTCTATTTTTTCTGATTAACAACTATTATAAATTTTACTTAAATTATTCAATTTAATTTTTATTATTTAATTTTTACTTGTCAGTATTTATTGACAAGTAAAAAATCTATATACTTTTGGTAACCCATAGGGTGTTTTAATGAATGGTTTACATTGAGAATAACTAACCTAAGTTACCATATGTATTGCCTAGTATTCTTACTATTTGTTTTGGTGAAAATCTTAAAATTTACTCCTTTCACCATTCTCAAATATAATACATCATTGTTCTGTAGTCATGTGATATGAAGTAGATCTTTTAAAATTATTCCTTGTGTCTAACTGAAATTTTCTTCTGTATGACATCTCTGATCTCTCTACCTCCCCAGCCTCTGGCAAGCACATGTACTCTTACTGTATCTGTAAGTTCAGCTTTTCTGTGTTCTCCATATAAGTGAGATCATGTGGTATTTTTCTTTCTGTCCTTAGCTTATTTTACTTAAGATTTTATCCTCCAGGTTCATCCATATTGTTTCACATTTCTTTTTTATTTTAAGGCTGAGTAGTACTTCATTCTGTATACAGTCAGCCTTCTACATCTGTAGATTGACCCAACCACTGATAAAAAATTTGAAAAGATTTGAGCATGTACAGGCCTTTGTGTTGTCATTCCTAAACAATAGTATAAAAGCTGTTTATGGAGTATTTTTATTTTATTAGATATCATAAGAAAGCTAAGGATGATTCAAAATATATGGGAGGATGTTCATAGATCATATGCAAATGTTATACCTTTTACCCCCTCCATATGCCCAGATGAATACTATTCTAAGAGACGGCTGCATGTAATACATTTTGTTTACTCTTTAATCCATCAAGAGACATTAGTTTGCTTCATGTCTTTTTTTTTTTATTGAAAGAATTATGCCTTTATTCCTTGTTTTGCCAATTGGACAGACTGAATAGTTTGCTTTTTTTTTTTTTCCAAAATTTTATTGATAAACAGCAATGAGACAGTTTCAAATCAAATCGGAAGTACACTTTCAACAAATAACACACTGCATATATTCTTCTTAGTGGTTAATTGTTGTACAAGATGCGGACTTGAGATCCTATTTACAAACACCATTAGAACAAATCATTCTATTCATTAAGAGAATGCAACTATATATCTATCCTAACCACTTCGAATACACAGATACAAAATGGACATTCATCTGTATACCCTATTTTTTCTAAGTTCCGTTATTGAATATTATAGGTGTGTAAACTCAGCAAAATATTCTAAAAGAGTCCAGTAGACCATAATAGCCTTGGGTCTTCTGTTTAACTGGCAATGTCAGAAATTATTGACCTGAGTCCCCCACAGCTCAACATAACAGCATGGCTTTACTTCCCATATTTCGTCTTCATACTTTTATACTGGATGGATAAGACTAAGGTAAAGCAGGACCTGTGCAATAAGAGTTGTAACTTTTTGGTCTGAGAAGGTCAGTGAAATCCCCTCAGGATTTATCCTGAGATCCTGTATCTCAGATTGTAGAACCTTTGTCAGTGCAGCCATGTGAATGAGTCACGGCCATTGCTTGGCCATTGTGCTCTCTGGGAAAGCCTGAGAGAGTGTTTTCTCCCCATGTGACTCTCCTTAGGCACACTCTACGTCATCGATCACTTTCCTCTTTGGCCCCATAATCTTCTTGATCAGAAAATTTCGGACACCACCAAGGTACATGACATTACAGTACAAGTTCTCATATGTCCTGAGTCTTAATTGACCTTAGAAGGTTAGGGCCAAAATGTTGGCTTTCCTTGTAGCCCTAATTTTGGTCTGCAAACTTAGGTTGTTAACCATCCGGAAGACAAGCTTATTGTTATTATCAAACGATTTAGGCTATTAAGCTTAACCTATCTCACTGCATTTCAAACATCTTAGGCATAATAAGGAGCAGGTATTTTTCATCAAGTACTGATATGTTGAACTTTAGGTCCCTGCATAATATGATAAAAAAAAATTTTTAAATTAGATTATATTTTAAAAATAGGATAAAGAATTATATACTTCGCATGTTTGCACATAAGTCCAAAAATCTCACCATATACAACCTTGAAGCAGGACACTCCCACAATATTCCTTTTCCTGTCTCTTGCTTTCATTCACCATCCCCTTCTTGAACATCCACCTACCCAAGAGACATCATAGCAGTAAATGGCATGTCATGACAAGTCGCCCATATTCAGACTACCAGAATGTCAGGCACTCCAAATATGAAACTACTGTTACAAATTACTATCTTGCTTCATGTCTTGACTATTGTAGGTGATGCTGTAATGAGCATGGAAGTTCAGGGATCTCGTCAGAATACTGGTTTCCTGTCCTTTGGATTGCTGATTTGTTAGGCATACTTATTCATTCATTCATTCATTCATTCATTCATTCATTCATTCATTTGGTGTGGTATGTTAGGGACCTAACCTAAGGATTCACACAATACAAAGTGTGTGTTCTACCATTGAGCTATACTCCCAGCCCACTTTTGAATTTTTGGACATTTTTCTCTGTTGCTTTTCATAACGGCTATACTAGCTTCATTCTACTCAGCTATGTGAAAGGTTTTCCTTTTCTCCATATCCTCAACAACGTGTGTTGTCTTCTGTCATTTTGTAAAAGCTGTTCTAACAGGAATGAGGCAATAATCTCATTATGGTCTTAATTTGTGTTTACTGTCACTAGTGATACTGAACATTTTTTATATACCTATTGGTCATTTGTGTATCTTCTTTAGAGAAATATCTAGCTCAGTTCCAGTAACATTAAAAACTTGCTGAATGAAAGCAGCAGAATGTTAGTGTACCAGTTAAATAGTCATTCCTTAATGTAATTTTTTTTTTGTCTGTGGTCTTCTTATTGAGTTGCTTAAATTTGTTAACATTTGCTAGAGCCACAGGCTCTTAATGAGAGGCATTGAATACAGCGCTACCCACCTGTGTCTGCGTCACAAGTGACAGACTTTTGTTTGGGCATTATGTAAAGATGTCACAGGAGTTGTCTGGGGCTCAACAGTTGCTCTGAGTAAAAACTGTCCATTTATGGTGCCCCCCAGAGATTCCAGATGACATTTTCTCTTGTGCCACAGTTGTTTTGGTCTCCATTAACACCTTGTGATACATTCTGATCCAGCAACCCAAAATCAGAGTTGGTCTCTGGGCCATCATTTCATGCTGACCCTGGTTTGAAGTGCTTCAAGGATTTGGCCTGGCTCTGGCAGCAACAATTAGGTACTGGACAGAGGGCCACCATCCAGACGGTGCAAGAGAATTATGTTTGGGGTGCCAGAGGAATAACCTACTAACTTAACAGAAAAAGAAGCATTTTCATATGTAAACAAGCAGTAACTGAAATTATACTACAGAAACATTTTCTTTTGCCTCCTTAATTTGTCCAGGTATCAGTTTCTTTTCCAATAAACTGAAAGGCTAGCAGCTAAGACTTTTTAAACACTTACATAATAGATGTACCTGCTTCATCAGTATTATGTGCACAGTTGCTCTATAAAGTAAGCATTGTAATTACCACAGTTAAAAAAAATCAGCCACCATCTATTCCCACTTTTATTTTTTTCTGTTGTATTTATTATCTAGCATTTTTTTTACAGGTGACAACTGGTATATTTATTTCTTACAAAGGAATCTCCTGCTGCATAAACGTGTATTTCTGTTAAAATTTTGTATGTAATAGGACAGCACAGGCCTAGAGCATGCAAAGTAATGTTATGTTCTTGATTTCCATTTTGGTTTTTCTCCTCCCCTTTTTTTAACTTATAACTTATTTTTAACTTATCTAGCATTTTTAATGAAACATTAAAATCAATATCCACATTGTGCTCTTCACAATTCACATTGTTTAATATATGAAAATAAATTCATGTGCTTCCTATAGACCATAAAAAAAATATGACCCCTATCTAAATAGTGTTTAACTGTTTGGATTTATAAACATAGTGCTGAGAGCAGGTAGCTTGGAATAGTCCACAGACTCATGCTTTGAGGTCAGATAGTGCTTTTACTACTCTCCTCCACCCAAGCTAGAGCAAAGCAGTTAAGACCACTAAGCTACCAAACTTATGACTAGATTTAATCAGCCACTAATAAAATAAAATCTATCCTTCTAACCCCATTCCAAAAAAATTACTGCTTAATGGCTTCCATTATGTTATTTCCTTAGCCATTTTGCAGAAGCAGGTATGTATCTGCTTACTAAATAAATCACTCACTAGCTTTGAGATATGGGACAGAATAACTCCCTTGAGCCTTATTTTCCTCAATTTCAAGGTTTTTAAAAGCATGCTCACAAGGTGCTGCTTGTTGACAAAGCTCAGCAAATGCAAGCTCCTTCTCCATGTAGGTCTACAGTCAGCTGTCATAGGCTGAGTACCTCACTGGATCAAATGTGTGACCATAAAACTGTATTTGCAGAGAATGATGAGGAACAGGAAGCACTGCCATCTCTGGATAAGCCGGGCTGGTACTCGCAAGGGAACGCTGTTCACCTTTATGAACTTCTGAAGAAAATGACTGGCAAACCTCAACCAAAGGTATTTCTGGTTTGAGACAGTCCCTTGTGTCCACTTGCTGATAAGAGCAGTTGAAAATTAAAAACTTAGTTATAAATGAATTCAGCTTAGTTCCTGTGGTGGAATCATCTGCTTCTGCCTGTCTACCACATCTCTCCTTTTACCTCTGATTAAATAAATCTTCCCTTTGTTGATGTAGACTTGGTCTTTATCCATGACACAAGGAGCAAGGATTCCAAGCACAGTGCCACATGCTAGAGAGTGAGAGGAGTTTGTGTTTGGGGTGCCTCAGGAATGATAACCTGCCAGTTCCTCAGAAAAAGAAGTTTCTGCATGTAAAACAAGCAGTAAATGAAATTATTCTACAGACTAGCCTAAAGATACATTTTCTTTTGACATCCTGATCGCATTGTTGATGTTGTATGTAGTGTACATTTTATAGCAGAATTTTCTCTTCTAAAAAGTATTTACCAGGTACCACAGGCACAGGACAAATCATTGAGTAATGAGTTCTGCTTTTTTGGCTCCCACTTTGCTACAGCCCTGTACTTAATTTAGAGCTGAAGGCTATGGTTCTTAGCCTAAATTTGTAAATTGGAGGCTCTAGACCAGTCATGGCAAGCCTTTTAGAGCTTTCAATGATAGACCCCACTGTGACATGTATGTCATAGGATCACCACCACTGAGACTGTATCCAAAGGGATTAGCCTCAGAAAACCTGGGATGCTTTCAAGATTTCACATGTCCAGCCATGCTGTCAGAGGTTCTGCTTCAGCACATCTAGTGTGGAGCCCAGAAATTCTCTTGAAGAGCAGTTGTAGTGTATGCTAGGTAATCTGACCCACTGTAGCAAGTTATCTTGTTAAACCTGAAACATGTATAACCTTGGGGTGTGGTTAAACCAAGGGACAGATCCACTTACAAACATTTATGTAAACACATGAGTTCACTTCATTAGGAACTTTCTAGCTCTTATTCTTTCTTTCACCTGGATTGTGTAACTTCTATCAGGTGCCTTGTGCATCAGGTCAGTGGTCACCTCTGAAATTATCCAGAAGTTTAAGATGTATAAATTCAGGCCATTTTTGGCTGTATACTTTTGAGACTCACTGAGAAATTTTCTTATTTTCCATAAAATAACCACCATTCTGAAACAGAGCTTGCTATCTTTTAGGTCGTTTACTTTGGTGACAGCATGCACTCAGACATTTTCCCAGCAAGTCATTATAGTAAGTGGGAGACCGTGCTCATTCTGGAAGAACTCAGGGGCGAGGAAGGTGAAAAGCATGAGGCAGAGCCTCTGGAGAAGAGGGGGAAATATGAGGTAAGGGGCCTGCCTACTCTTTGCTTGAGAAAACAACTGTGTGAAAGCTGAAATGTCTTTATAGTACCTGACTTCAAAATTATCCTGGACTGCATGAATGCCTACATTTCAGTAATTCACTTCTGAAGCAGTATTTGTATTGATGAGCTCATCCCTAGTAGACATGTCAGGATACTTTAGTTGTATTATCTGCTTTATAGAAAATCTATCATGCATCTGTGCCTGTATTTGAATGTAAATGCCAACCATGTGGGTTTGTTTGTTTCTCTACAAACACCTTTTGACATGAACCACAGTATATCAAGTCAGACTGCATCAGTGTGTCAGTCCAGTCTGTCATTCAGCACTGCACGCTTCCATGAAGGTGGCAATAGCGCCTCACACTCAAGTAGTCAACATTGCCCCTCTTGACAACATGGGTGCTTCCTGCTTCCCAGTAGAAAAGGCAGAAGGTCAGCACCTTCGGTTGCTCCAACCGGAAGAGTCCATGAAGAGAACACTGCATGAGAGCCTGTAGAGTTTGTGATTGTTAAGAAACAAGACCAAGTACAGAATATACAAAAGGTGCTGTCCTTTGGCCAGCTTAAAGTCTGAATGCAAAAGAATGTAACTGCATTTCTAATTACTTCAATGAGCCTGAAATTTAATTAATTTCAGAAATGTAATTAAAAATCTAATTCTCCAGATTATTTCAAGACTGATGCTGTGAGCCCCAACATTTCAGGCACTGCACTCTGGGATCCACATGTGTGTCAGTGGTGTTTCAATTTGCCAAGTACTTTTCTAACCTCCAGGTAGCAAATGACTTCTCAGGTTACATCCCAAAAGACAAAGATTAGAATCATTGGTGTGCCCAACTACATCAATATTAGGTATTTTGTTCATGATACCTAGGATACAGCTATCAATGGGAAAGGGGTTTTACATTTGCATAAATCAAACTTTTCTTTCCTTTTTTTTTTTTTTTTTTTTTTTTTTTTGAGACAGGGCCTTGCCATGTAGTGCAGGCTGGCTGTGAGCTCACTTTGTATTCCAGGCTCATTTCAAACTTGCAGCAATCTTCCTGCCTCAGCCTCCCAAGTGCTGGGATTACAGGCATGCATCACCACATCCGACTAGATCAAACTTCATAAAATTGATGTTTTTATTTGGCAAAAACTGATGAATACCTGCACTGTAATATGATCCCACCTAGTAAAATTAGAAATAGGTTGATACCCAGCATATAAGACATCCAATATTCAGTTAGAAATTAGGAAAAAGGCATCAGGATGATTGACTGACAGAAAGTTTCCCTATGAGGGAGGCACCAGTATTCACCAGTAATACTTACAGTTCAAGTAAACAGGGGCAAGGTACCATCTTAAAGCAACCAGACTGGCTAAATTGAGTTGCTGCTTCCCATGCAGCTCTTGAGCTTCCTCCAGTTGGGAGTGGGGGAGCAGGGAGGACTGAGAGAAGATGGAGAAATAAAGATAAAAGAGGGGAAACAAAGATAAGAGAGGGCAAGCTGAGGTAAGGTGAAGCCCTCTCCAAGTGAGAGGGAAAAACCTGCTCAACCAGTATAGCCCATTTATTTATAGTCTCAGGAGGTTACATACAGTCTATCTCAAGCTTTAGCCACTCCCTACACTGAGTTAGGTTGCTTAATATTAATTTAAAAAATAGTTCAAGAGGGCAAGGATAGAACTCAGCAACACAGCACCAGCCTGGCAAGTGTAAGGTTGTGAGTTCTATTCCCAGGACAGAAAAAAGAAAGAAAAGATGACACCTTTTTTTTTTTTTTTTTGCCAAAACCAAAGATTGAACTCAGGCTCCATCTCCCTGGCCCCAACACATTTCTATTAGGTGGAAAACATAAAGTGGGGCCTGTATTGTTCATTAGAGTTTTATTGTGTTGCATTTGACAACACTGCATGCAATGCAAATAATCTTTAATTTGGTGAACACCAACTTGGCCTTTCAATCAAAAACAAATGCTATTTTATCCAGGGTTAAGTACAATGGGTGTGACCTCCACCTGTGCAGATTCCCAGGTGAAGGATATGTGAGAACTGTGTTCAGCCCTAAGAGAAGTGGACATACTTAGCTCAGTATTCCCAGTGAATAGCCAAAAATGTAAGATACTTAAGAACACTAATAATTTGAAACCTTGTATCAATTGATTGGCTTCATGTTCCAGTACATCTGTAGTAAGAAATAATTGTCTTCCTTGCATTACTTTAAAAAGTAACAACTAAAAAAATTATACCAATGTCTCTTCTCATTTTGCCTTTCAGCAAGGTCTCACACTGTATTCCAGACTGGCCTGAAACCCAAGGCCGAGACTGGCCTCCAACGCAGGATCCTCCTGCCTCAGCCTCCTGAGTGCTGGGAGTATTAAGTGTGTATTACCACACTCAACCCAAGCTGTTTTTTAACCAACCTTTAGATGTTACAATAATAATTAAATTGGAGTTATTTTAATTGTTGGAAAGGTACATTTCTAGACTGCTGTATTTGGGGTATTTTTCAGATTATATCGAACTGACCATTTAAAATACTCAGTTCTAGACTGAAATAAAGAATACTTTTTAATAAATGTTATTTTCCTTCCAAAAATGTGATCGTTTTTCCATTTTGAAAAAAGACCACTTGAAATTAATCAATTTCCAATATTAATCAGTTATTTTGTTCTCTTGTTTTAGGGACCAAAGGCAAAGCCTCTAAATACCTTATCAAAAAAATGGGGCTCTTTTTTTATTGATTCAGTTTCGGGACAGGAAAACACAGAGGACTCCTCGGTTTATACATTGTCATCTAACAAAATCAGTACTTACAGCACTATTGCAATTCCAAGTATTGAAGCAATTTCAGGTAAGGGGGGGAAATACCTATGGAGTTAAGAGAACAGTTCCTGAACTTGTTTTATCCCATACCTTATTAGTCCTTTTTATTGACTTTTTTTAACCTGGAACACGGAATAAAATTATTTGTTTGGAGTGAGACAAGACTGAAAAACAAAGCTTTATGCTCTCCTCTGCCTCGTTATTAGACTTGGTCATCTCATTCACAGTTACAAACCCAGAAGCCATTTTTACAGCTTGTATTAATCACTTTCCCATCACTGGGATAGTATCCCACACACATAATTTAAGAGTTTTACTTCAGCACAAGTCTGTGGGTTTAATCCCTAGTTGGCATCATGAAGGAAAGCTGATCAACCCACATCAGCCAGGAACCAGAGGGTGAGGAGAGGAGCAGTGGAAATCCACATGCCCCCAGTAACCCACCTGTGCTGCCCAAGCCCATTTTCTCTCAGCACATTCAACAATAATTCATTGGTGGATTAAGTCATTCAGGAGTAAGGCATGCCTGTGATCCAAGCCCTTCCCATCAGTCCCACTTCTGACTACATAAGACTTTGGTGATGAGGAACTGTTACAAAAGTTTATATTTAACCATATGTATAACAATAGAGTTTGGTTCATAGGCCACCTTACAAGGTAATCTTTTTATAACACAGTACAGAGAGATGTGAGCATTTCCTTTACATTGTAAGATGGTTACGGATAGGTGATTCCATTGATCTGTATCATTTTGATGGATTATTAAATCCAGGACACCTCAGATGTCTGACTTTTAGAAACTCATTGATATCAATTTACTTCCCAATAGAAGGCTCAAAATACAGAACAGCCAATAAAACAGTGAGGACCAATACCATGCACTACTGCTGGTTGTTTGTCCATTCATGGTAATCCTAGCTTTCTCTGGCAGTATGAAAGCAGTGCTCCTCATTAACTGCTTTAGACTTGATGATTTTCAGTGGCATCTATTATAAACCAAAATTTATGCCAATGTCATTTTCAAAATGTTCAATACTACTAAGTAATATTTTCCTTGCAAAATGTGTGAAGATTATTGTCCTATTATTTACATGAGGAATGAACAATTGACATAGGTCCTTAGGCTTCACATTGAATACTTCTAGGTACAAAGGTATTTCCTTGGAGAAAGGTAAGGCTAAGATCTTGAAAAGCCTGTTGTCTGAATATCACTGAGTCCCACCATCAACGAAGTATGCAGCATATGTTCTTTCTTCTCATCTTACATCTCTGTGTGCATGTATGATGCTTACCTTATAGAAAATGTGCCATATTATGCATGTTCTTATCTTGCTAACTATTCAAAGATCATTAGTAACCCCCATTCCTGCTTAGGTATATGAACAATATTCACTAGCATTCAGTAGTTACTTGATCCCTAGTAGGACCTGAGGTTTTTTGGTTTTTTGTTGTTGTTGTTGTTATTGTTGTTTTTTTTTTTTAAGTTTCTAAATCAGATGAGCATTTCTGTACTCTTCATCCTAGGTGCCACCTATGGAAGAGGGGCAAGAAGTGTTAAATTTAGAAATTCTAAAAAACAAACCTGGGTATCAGCTTTTGGTTTACTTATATTTATGAAATTTGAGAACCTACAAAATAATCAAATTTTGTCTTTTTCCCCCCAGAATTACCCCTGGACTACAAGTTTACAAGATTCTCTTCAAGCAGTTCAAAAACAGCTGGCTACTATCCATTTGTCCATTATACCAATGGCCTTATCAAATGAAGAGACACTGACAATAAAACAAATTATAATGGAGTGAAAAACCATATATGCACCAAATGTACTATTAAAAAATGTTAATTTTCAAAAAAATTGTAAAATGCTTTGTAGAAAGTTTTTGTGAAAATTACCAATTGGTATTTGTGCATAAGTCTCTATTTTATATAAACTATTTGATACTTAATGCCTTTTACTATATTAAGATGTGTGTATCCTAAAAGTAAAAAAAAAATATTTCCCATACCAATAATTTTAAGATTAGAATTTTCCTGGGAAGGTGTGTACACACCCACACATGCATACACATATACCTATACTTACCCCATTGGTTCTCAAAGTGCACAGCATCACCTAGAACTTGGTAATGCAAACTTGAAGGGCTTCCCAAAACCTACTGGATCAGAAACCCTGGGAGTGCGACTGTTCCTCTTCAAAAATGTGATAAACATAGGACAAAGTACAACTCTCAATCTTTATTGTTCCCCCTAGGTTTTTCTTTCCCTAAGAGTTTGTTCATTTTTAGTAACTCTAAGGTGTGCATTTTCAAACAAAGGATTGTAGCCTTCCAAAGTTTAGCCTTGATTTAAAAAAAAAAAATCTTTAACAATTAATTTTGCTCATTAGAAATTTATGCTGGGGCCGGGGAGATGGCTCAGTGGAATGAGCACTTCCCTGGCAAGCACAAGGGCCTAAGTTCAATCCCTGGTTCCGCAAAAAAAAAAAAAAAAATTATGCTTATTAATTAAATCTGTCTAATTTTATTTTCCCCTTGGTCAAGGGAGTGATAACAACCAAAAAAAAAAAAAAATTGAGGAAAAACTGCTTAAGTCTTTTGGGCATGCTACAATCCAAGACTGCTGTGTTCTGTATGCTGTCTTTAGTTCTATTAGTAGTAGCTATTTATGAAAAGATGTTTGGAGCCAGAGTACTGTTTCTGACTATGCTTTACAGCAGTAACCACTATCCATACTGCACAGCACCACAAGACAGCACTGGTTATCATCATTATTTTACTTGGATTGCAGCAGAGGATTGAGCATACGAAACATATAATGAAAACTTTTGTTACAATTTGTAAATGTTGTGATGAATCCCAAATATACTGCAGAAATAAATATCTCAGGGTATGTACTAGGTTACTGACTTTTTTTTCTTCTCAGATTTATTTGAAATCTACCATAATTATATTTGAAACTGATAATTCAAAATGTCACTGAAATGTTATAATGAGCATATATAATCAAGTTTAGAGCTCAGTGAAAGATCTCATGTATACATTGAAATCTGATTTCTTTTAAAATAAAGTTATTTTTCCTTATTCATGTTTACTCTATAAATAGCAAAAAAAAAAAAATTGCTTTCAACTGCTTTTAAGGAAAATGACAGCCACAAAATTAAAAAATTGTATGTTTGGTCACTGAGGAGCTGAAAAACCTCTCATGCCAGAAGTTCTAGTCCTGCTCTTACTGGCCCAACCCCAAGATCTAAAGCAGTTACCACCTAATCTGACTCATCTTTTTCCATCTTGTAAAGAGAATAGAGTTTGTTTTCTTCCACCTTTCTAGCATGTCAATGCTAACTCGAATTTCTTTTGTTACACTATGATTAAACTGTAGACTGTTTAGTTCATTGGTCATAGATTTATAAAGTGGCAGTGTTTTCAAGCTGCATTATGAAGAGTAAAAATAACCCAAAAGTGGCACCATAAAAATTAGAATATTAAAAAAGCACCTTATTCTTTTAATAGTTGTATGAAACTAAAGAAAGCAAGACAACTTTTCCAACACAACCAGTTCAGTTTTGGCAGTAAGGGAGACGCCTATATTTTTATCACTTAAAATAGTGTTTCATGGAAAAGTAATCTCTCAACACTATTTTTGATTACTACATTTATGTTCACAACAGTGCTCTTGACCTAGTTCTCTTAAGGAGCCCCACACAAGACTTGGAAAAATTAATAGATTCTCTAAGTGCTACTTAAATTTCTTTTCCTAAAGTACCATGGTACTTAAGACATTTTGTCTCACTTCCCAACTGCTCAGTTTACTGCAGAAGTCCTGCTCCACTCCTTGCAGTGCCTTGCCTTTGTTCACAGTTCTGAACCTTATTCTTTAGGCAGACCTCCAGACCACGTAGGAGTCTGTCATCCTCTGGACATAAAAGAAGTATTACCTTCTTGATCTACAAAGCCCTGTGAGAAGCAGTGACAAACTTAATTTCCCTGTGACCATTTGATAATTTTAATGATTTGCCAGTCTTATTAATCACAGAACTTTTTATTCATTTTCCTTTTTTATGAAAACATAGCAATGACATTTTACTTTTCCTTCCAGCACCTAAGATAAGGTACTAATGATTCTCTTTTAGTTTGAAGCAATTTTACTATTAATTATGCTAGTTAACATAAATGTCAAGTACATTATTACTAAGACAAGGGATATTAAGACAGGCAATAGTTTTGAGATTACTTTCACAAAACATAAAAACAATTTGGAAAAGCTTCACTCTTTGTACATCATATTCAAATTATATTCCTAAGAATAAAGCTATATATGAAGACATCAGAACAAACTAATCTATTCATGGTCACAGAAGTCTTCATACTGCACAGGACACCAATTTGATACATATATACAGTTCTCCATATAGAAGCAAAAAGCAAAATATATATCAATTTTCTACATATATAAAGGTGACTCCTAGAACAGGAAATATCCAGGTTTGCACACTTGTTTATAGAAATCTATTGGTGAATTTAAGACATTAGGAAAAATTGGAGAAAATGCTCCAAGCATCCTACTTTAAAACTGATTCTGCAACCAGCCTGTACTTGGAAAGTGCCGCAGAGGTATCTTTCCCATCCCTGATTTTGCAGGGTTTCAGTGCTCAATGAGAGCCTTGCAAAGCTGATTCACATCATGATCAATTTCAACTTCTGGACCAACAACTAGCGCACCCCATCCACTGGTAGTGTGTAGGGCTAGGGAGATAGCTCAGTAGCATAAGCCCCTGCCTGGAAAGCACAGGTCCTGAGTTTGATCCCTGAAAAAAAAAATAACAACCACTGGTTGTGTTGACCTCCTCTAGCCTTCAGGGACCATAGGGCAGCACCTTCAAACAAGGAAGTGGCTCACAATTAAGGCAGCCCTGACAGTGCTGCAATTCGACCTAATGGAACTCCTGGAAATCCAGACAGATTCCACATCCCCTTATTCAGCAAGAAAGCATGTGATATCCCCACACTGACTGCAGTTTAGTCCCTTACCTGTTAGGACAAAAGCAGGAAAAGAAATTCAGAAGGTGAGAAATGAAAGCCAAGAATACCACACAGACTGAGCCTTTTGGGATAGATGGGCACTAATTAAAATGAACTCATCACTGACACCCTTCCCTCTCCCCTCCCAACTTCTCAAACTAAAGCTCAAGAAATGAAGGATGTGGTGGGATGGGTAAAGGTCAGTTATCCTAAAAGAACACAATTATTTTAAGATCTCCCTTTGAAACTTTTGGACCTTGCTTAAAAATTTTTTTTGAAACACTGAAATGAAGATTACAGATTTGCAGTCTATTTTATAGTGCCTTTCTCTGGACACATCCAAGGACAGAGCAAGTAAACAAAAACCCTGCTCTGTCAATTTTGTTTTCTGTCCCTAAGCTGTAACTCCCACACAGAGATGGAGAAAAGAGAAGGAAAAGAGAGAGGCATAACAAGCTTCATCCATGTTCTGAAAACCCTGTGGCCCTAGAGAGCTGCCCCATTCAACATGGGTATGGAAGGGGTATGGAGTTGTCTGTAGAAAACATTTGTAGCCCAGGGCTCAAAAAGTCTTAACTGCTGGAAGGAACCCGGCCTTGCCTTGATTTCACTACCACTTGGGTTGATGGGTAATCATGAGGTGGAGGTAGGTTCCTAGGAAGACAGACAATGGTAACCTCTACAAACTTCACCAAAGAGAAAAGTAGGTATGAGCTAGAGCACAGGCCTTCATACATACCAGAAGCTGATCAGGAGGTACAGTAACTAAAGGGAAAGACAACAAATATAAAACATTCTTCACCTATTACATCACCAATGCCTAGTAGTCACCCACCAGCCACCTGCTTGTTCTATTACATAACCAGCAGGGTGGACAGCAAAGGTCTAGGGGCATGTCTGGGATCCAGATAATGGTAGCTGGAATGTTCAGTTTAGGTTAGGTTGATGGCAGCCAGGACAGGATATCAGTTTCATCTTGCAATGGTGAAACTCAAGATTATGTCACAGTACATGGCTTGGAGCACAACCAGCATAAATTAGGAAGCCTACCTAGTTATTTGCAAAGATGTATCGAACTTTCTTGTGACAGAAAACCTCTTAAAACACTCAGGACTGTGGTCGCAGCACCCAAGCCATGCAAAGGAAGGCAGTATGAGCTTGGCACAGAAACAGCAGGCCATACACTTGGGACATGTTAACACACTGCAGGACAGCAGGTAGGTAAGCAACAACTGCCACTGTTGAAGATTTAGGAGAACCAAACACCAAAATAATCAAGGACATAGTCAAGACTGCATGCTTCTGGCCAAGCATAGAGGCTGGTAAGACAATTTGTGCAGGAGCTTCTCATAGGACATAAATTAGCCAGACTGGAATCTGAAGGACCTAGGGGTCTCCACAGGGTGCCTTGGTGCGCCTCGAATTCCTCCGCGGGGGCCTTCACCCATCAGGTAGTACTGTAGAGGATTGGACCACAGTTCCCCTTTGATAATCTCAGCAATTCTGTCCAATTCTAAGAGGCTGTGGTCTGAGAACCAGTTGAAGAAACTGGAGATTGTGTTCCCTTCCCGGTTCCGGTGGATATGGGCCTGGGGGTCTTGGCCTCGGTGCCAGCGGATTGGTGTGGAAAGAGACACCACTCGGCCAGAGGATCTGCGCTCGTACTCCTTGACTAACCCCTCATTTCGGAAGTAGGGGTTGTTCCGAAAAATGAACTTGAATTTGCAACCTGCTCTAGGATGTTTAAGCTCCTCCACCTCCAAGTTGATCATGTACCTCATCATATCTTCGTCTTGGCCACTGATCATTGGAGACAGCTGGGGGTGGTTCCGAAAGGCTGTAACCCAGAAACCTGGGATATTCTGGATAATGAAGCTCCTGCGCTGCATATGGAGCCTCCGCATTCGGCCAAACTTGCGCTCTAGCTGGAGAAAGGCCCTGTCAGCCTGGGCGTTTACATTCGACAGCTCCTGATCGATGGCCTCCAGTGAATCCATGCAGGTATTGATCTTCTGGGCCCTAGGCCTTGTCTCTTCTTTTCCTCCTTCAACCATCTGTTTTTCCGTCTGGACTACCTTCTTTTCGTCCATCACCGGCTCGGCTTTTCCCTGCATTTCCGAAGATGCTGAGATGGCGCACTTCTTGGTGGCCATGTCCTTAGCCTTTGCTCCAGGCATCACCTGCGCCCCCGAAGTCCCTGTGCCACCGGCTTCTGGAGCCTCCTGTGCTGCGGGACCGTGCTGCTCTCTAAGCCGACAGCCATCTTTCTGGCGGGCGCCATTTGCCACAGAGTCCGAGCTTGCCTCCGCGCCCGCAGGAGGAGGCAGAGAATCCTCCAGGCCAGGCCGGCCGGCCGCCAGGATGGGGCTCCCGGGCCCTCGAGCGCAGAGCGCGGGCCCGCCGCCCGCCGCCCCCCCGGGCGCGCCTCCCTCGGCGGCCTGCCCGCGGCCCTCACCTGCGTCCGCCATGGCCGGCGCAGCCTCCGCCGCTTCGCCTGGGCCCTGGTTTAGGTCCAGATCTTCTAGGGCGTGCTGAGGAGGGGCGGTTTCAGAGGGAGGACGTTTGTTGCCCCCGTCCAGGCCGCTCATTGTTGTAGTAGTCAGACCCGCAGGAGACGAGTTCCTCGCTCTCCACGGAAACCAGGACCAGCAGCAACCAACCTCTAAACCCACCCCTTTTCCTCTAGGGCTGGCGCTACCATGGCAACCGGTAATCTCAGGGGCAGTCTCGCGAGAACTTACTGCCCACTGATTAAGCTAGTCAATCAAGTGTGTTCCTTTGGGTCCTTGTAACAAAATGTTATCATTTTAATAGGGGAATTTTTTTTTCTTTTTACTTGCATAAGTGGATGTAGAACAAATTCAACCATATGAAAGCTGTGTTAATGTCGATTTCTAAGACTTTGAACTTCTAAGGTACCTAAGCTATTCTTTCCTAAAATATTTACTTAAAAAGAAAGGTTGGCCCATTTCCATGGAAGAAGGCAGAATTCAGACTGAGGGACGGCAGGTCTTCAATTTTGTGGCTGTAGGCACCAACCCGGACAAGAAAAGAAGAGATCTCTGGTTTTGGTGCAGGCAAAAGGGGAGAAATCACAACATGGAAAAGTTCTACACAGAAGATGAAGAAAAACCAGAAAATGAGGGCAAAGCAGAAGACAAAATAGAGACTCAAGATGAAGGAAAGCCAGAAGAGACAGCAAAACCAGACTTGGGGGGGAAGCTAGCCCATGAGGGAAAGCTGGAAGGGGAAAGACAGCCAGGTGTGGAGGTACAAGGGGAAAATGAGGGCAAGCTACAAATACAGGGCAAGTCCAAGAATGAGGGCAAGCCCCAGGGTGAGAGCACAGCAGCGTCCCAGGTACAGTCAACTAGTGAGCAGCAGCCCACCGGAAAGTGCCCTGTGGAAGATTATGTGCCCCGGAAAGCAAAAAGAAAAACTGATAGGGCGACTGAAGACTCCCCCAGGGACTCTCAGGAGAATCTACAGGGCAGGCATTTGAGCAGTGGGGAGGTGATGGCACAGTGTGCGGATATGTCAAGGGCTCAGGAAGAACTGAGGAAAAAACAGAGAATGAGTAATTTTCACTGGATGCAAAGAGAGCTGCTGGATTCGTACCCCCCAAGGGTCCCAAAAGGTGTAAGGGCAGTGAGGGGTGGAGGTAGGGGTCAGAAGAACTTAGAAGATCATCCTTATGTTTAATGGCTTTGACCTTGAATGATTATTTCTCTGATAAAAATATTGCCAGCTCTGCTTTTCCAGGCAGGCATTTGCCTGGCTAGATGCTTTAATCTTATGCTGATTCTTTCCTCTTGCTACCAGCAGCCTGTCTACCTAAGTACAACGTTGTCTTTTACTACTGGATTTTCACCTGTGTGTGTGAAGATGTTCATGGTACCTTATAAAATAACAATAAAAACAGTTTTCAGAACCACAAAAAAAAAAAGAAAGAAAGAAAGAAAGGTTGGGGGCTCGGGAGATGACTCAGTGTAATAAGCGCTTCCCTGGCAAACGCAAGGGCCTGAGTTCAATCCCCGGTTCCGCAAAAAAAAAAAAAAAAAAAAAAAAAAAAAAAAAGAGAGAGAGAGGTTAAAAAATACGAATCTAAAAAAAAGGATTAGATACTGGGTATTCAAGTCAGATCATAGTGGATTCACCAGCACACAATCCTTTCTTCTGTAAGGTACAAATTCATGGCTATCACTAAAGAATTATCAACTTAATTTGACTTTTAAAGAGAAGTGCTGATGTGCTGTCATGATTTTTTCAAAATAGAACCACCTGAGAGGAAAACTTCTCATCCTAAGAAGACATAATAAATATGTATGATTTCAAATTCCCTACTGATTCTAAAGTTTTCATGCTTTAGCCAAGGTTTGTGATTCAGATGAGCAATAGTTCCTCTATACTTTTAATATTAGTAACACAATGTTTTTCTTTTCTTAGAGGTGGTTATACACAACATGCACAAAGTTGCTCTTGAGTCATTACTAGAATACATACAATCTCAGAGCATTTCATTTCTTTTTTTTTTTTTTTTTTTTGGTGGTGGTGGTACCAGGGATTGAACTCAATAAGTGCTTGTTAGGCAAGCATGTATTCCACTGAGCTATCACCCTGGCCCCAGAGCATTTCATTTCTAAAATGATACCAGTTATATGTTGTTTTTCTTCAAGTTACAATCTTAAAGTAGTAGTTTCTGCTTCACAGTGCCTGTGGCCATGGAAGCCAGCACATGCTTGTCCACTTCTGGTCCTGCAGAAGGAATTACCAACTATTTGTAGGCATCTACCTTATTGTCTCCTCAAACTATTTTACTTAAAAAGTAAGAAAGGTTAGCTGTCTATTCAAGTTAGCTCAGAGAATTCATTTGAACAGACAAGACTATTAGTTTGTTCATAGTATGGGAATACTGGTATTAATCCTTAAGAGAAAGCACGAGCAAAGTGAAACTTAAATTTTGCATATTTTTATTTAACATCTTAAATTTCTATTAAAACAAACTATTTCACTTTGCAATAGAAAGTCCATCATGAGCACCATAGAGTATGACCTTAGACAAATAAGGACTCAGAAATAAGGACTTAAATTTTTTTAATGTATTTTATAACTTTTAGTGAAGGAAATAGTTCAAATTATGTTCAAGTAATGGTTCAAGTAAAAATAAAGATGGAAAGGCCTGCTGTGTCAGCCTCGCCCCTGGGGTGTGCTGAGACAAGGATTGAAACTGCGCGTGGTGGCACATACACACCTGTAATCCCAGCACTTGGGAGGCTGTACAACAGGAGGATCACTAGGAGTCAGATCTAGTGGGATGCTATACACCCTGTAGACCCTGAACTAAATTCAAAAATAATAATAATAAAATAAAACATGGAAAATTGTGGGCAGATAATACAGAGAAACAGCCAGGTATACCCTTCCTGCTCAAGGGCATGGGGTCCAGACTTATCTCTATTGCCCTTCAGCTAATTAGTTGTCCTATTAAAATGTGTTAAAATTTACTCAGCAAGTAGTACTCTTCTCTTTTTCTCTGAGTCCTCCTAGTGTCTTACTGGGATGAAATTATTCTCCTGATTTATCTTTGTAAAAGAAGTTCATACTGCACTATAATTGACTGTGATTGAGTTATTCTTTAATGTTACTCCGCTTTTCTAAATAATCTTCACTAAAGAACTTTCCTGGATTTAACCTGACCAAAATGCAGACAAGCACCAAATGTTGAAATTTATTTTACAATGTAGGAGGGAATTTTTTTTTGAAGTTATAAAGCTTTTGGAAAAATTTTAAATTATATGTCCACTTTCTAGTAAATCAGATTTTTTTTCCTAGTGGAAACATCTGTCTCCAGCTTTCATTATTCCTCTCACCTGAGTCACTCCACTTCTAATAGCTGCTCCTTTTAAAAATTTAGTCCACGTAGGCTTCAGTAGGCATTTAAAATGTAGTAAATTTCATTAGCAAGGACCCAGGAAGCACTGAAAAGTTAAACTGCCCATCCATCATGGTATGTGAGTCATCTCCTAACTACGTACTATGTATTGCCTTAAAATTTTTGTGATCTTTGCTATTCAATTGAGTACTCATCCATCCGCTTTTTAACTTTCTTGAAAATCAGTCTTATCCTATTGCAGTCGTCGACACATTGTGTCAACTTGGCCAGATCGCCTGGCTGTGGATACATCGCGTCAGCTGCGTTGCCTGGCAGTTTCATACTCTGAGCTGTGAAGGGGTTGAGGAAGAATTCAGCATGGCTTCCAGCGCAGACTCTTCAGCCTCCAGATTGGATCCTTAAGCTTTCCGTCACAGATTCTTTAGTCTTCCCTTGTGGACGTAATGGCTGACACTCAAAATGAGGGAAGGAAAGATTTATTTGACTCACAGTTACTGGCGGTTTCAAGACACTGAAGGAGAGGCTGGGGCGCTGCCTGTCCAGGATGACCCTCTCCACTTCTCTCAGAAAGCACAGGCTACTGCTATCATCAAAATTGTTGCTCAGGTTACCAGATATAGGCATGCCAGATTTTTTTTTCCCATAATTTTATTGAGAAACAAATAGCAATGAGACAGTTTCAAATCAAATTGGTAGGACAGTTTAACACATTGCATACTGTCTTCTAGTGGTTATTTGTTGTACAAGATGCTGACATGATATCCTATTTACAAATATGCAATATAACAACCATTGTTAATTTTCTATTATTGTTTTGAAATTCTGTACCGTTTTTATTGTTCTGTTGCTTTATTTTTGTCTTTATTCTTGTTATTTGCTTTTGGGGTTTTCCTCTCTAAAATAAAAATATGAATTAGCAAAAAATAAAGAATCAAAAAAAAAAAAAAGCACAGGCTAGGCAGTTTTACAGTAGGCGCCGCTGGCCCCGCCCCTCTGGCCCTGCCCCTCAAGTCACTCGCTCCTCCAGCCGCATCTAAAGATTCTCGTCAGTAGCATAAGAGGCAGAACAACAAAAGTTGTTGAGAAACTGTTGCACAGCTGTAGGAAGCTGCTGGTTTTCTTGAGCTATTCTACTGGAGGACCTTGTCATGCTGGCTTTTCTGGTGAAGTTGGCTGTTCTTGTCTGAGGAGTTCAGGACTTTGCTGTTGCTGAGCAGAGCTGTAGTTCACTTTGGGGGAGCTCTGGTCCTCACCTTGAGCGTCACATCCTGGCTCCAGAAGGGAAGATGGTATACTGCTCAGCTGCCTGGAGAAGCTTATCATGTTGGCTTTCCTGATGGAAACTCAGTTTTCCTCATCTTTGAAGGCTCTTGGGACCTCACCATTGTGGAGAATGGCTGTGGTACTTTTAGGGGGAGCTCTCGTTCTTACTCTGAGTGTTGCTCCTGGTCCCGGTTCAGATCCCTCAGTCTGCTAGCACAGATCCTTCAGACTGCTGGCAAAGATTTTCTACCTTCCACCATTGACCTTTGGGCCTTCCCACTGCAGAGAGCAGTAGACATTTTCATGGCTCTAGGCCTCCAATGGCCCTTGAGGGAGGCACTGTTATGAGCTCTACATTTTCAACTGTACTCAGCATGCTACTAATATCCAGGCCTCCAGCTGGATTCTTTGGTCTTTAGTTTGTGGGCACTGTCTGTATATGATTCTTTGGGTGATTCATTATAAAATAATCTTATGTGTCCTACATTGGATTGTTCCCCTTGCAAAAACTCAAAACCACAAGTGCCTGTTAAAAGTGATCACTGTATTGACTAAATTAAACTCCAGTAAATGTATATTTATCTTTTAATTCTTAGTGACAATGGTTCTTTATATCTGAGTATTTCCACAAGAATACTAAAATATTTGAACTTTGGTCTAGGCTATTCTAAGGAAAAGTACAACCATACAACTTAACTCAGTAACTATCAAAATTTACACTTTTAAATACTGAAAATAGTTACAATCTGGTAGGGTCTTGAGGTCCTTTATTGTCTTTATAAAGGTAAATATATCTCTTT